GCGCGCTCATCGGGGTTGCCGTACCCGCCGACTTCTTCCTCATGGTAGACGAGGGCATGAAGATCTGCGACCCTAATGCCATCTTCTTCCTCGAGGTACTACCATCTGCATCTCAGGTGATTGATTCCTCCCTTATCTTATTACTTGAGCCCGGCATCTCTAGATCTGAGCGTCCGCGACGGCACGGCGACCATGGCTGCTGTTGCTGCAACTTGGCCGGGGCCGATGTCTGCTACTGATGGCGACTTAGCTTCAGGTTCTGAGGAGGATGTGGGCGGAGGCAGAGGACCAAACCACGAATCCGGCCGGCGATGGCAGCTGCTTTAGCGCTTCCTCTCTAGCTACGAGCCTACGACACCATGTTCCAGACGAAGCAACAGGCAAGTTTCCTTGTGCAAATTTATGCTATGTTCTTGTGTGGTATTTTCAAGCCTTCAACAGCATAGAAGATTAGATAGATCTTGGAAACAAGGAATCACATGTCTCTGTTCTTGTGTGCAAATTAGGTTGAGTTCATCTGTTCTCAATCTGAAGTACTGTACTTGTGAAAAAAGTTGAATAGGTGCTGCATCACCTGAATATTTATACAGAAATTACTGATAGTGTTTAGCCTGCATGACTTGCAAGTTAATATGATTCTGGTGTTACAGTATTTTGTTCTTGAAGTTTCAAAAAAAATACTCTGTTTTTTTTAAGAAAAAAAGTACTATGTTCTTGTGTAAATTAGATTGAATTCATAATGAGTAAAACTAAAGAACACTGCCCTCTGCTCATGATCGCCACAGTATAGGGATACATACCTAAAAGAGCATGTTCTGATTTTTTCCATTACACAATCTTGCATGACTATTTGACAGGCCAGAACAAAGAAATTTGATACTCCTTCGCCCCTTCTGTTACTTGCTTAATCTTGGGGTGGCGAAGTCCACAAATCAGCAGGAAGTTTACGGCAACCCTGCAGCCACAGGTTTGTTTCATTTCTCTCCCTTTTCCTTCCTATCTTGGATATGAGTTCTAATTTGGATTTCATATACAATTTTTTTTTTGTTAATCAAGGCAAAATAAGCTATACATGCATATTGGATTTTTAGGTTTTGCTTCTTGTGATAAATAATTGACCTTACAGGGCTGTATGCATTCTTTAGTAAGTGAATACATTCCTTTTCTATTTTAGTCATATTATGATAACCAAACAAAGACAATATAGCCTGCGTTCCAGTATAATATATAATTGATATAGATAGGTACCGAGTCATGCAAACGAACTACGCCAATTTTAGCATCATAGTTGCAATGTGATTACTCTCTATTTTATAATTCAATCTGATGCCGAAATATATGTTCAATGCATTCCATTAAAACCAGTCATGTAGCGTCGAACTTTTTATACGATTACTACTGGAAGGGTATGACTATCCCAGTAGTATACCAACAAGTGTTATTGCAGTCTTTAGTTATGTCATTAAAACCAGTCAAAGAATTATCTGTACACTGCAATCCTTAATTATTTCTAGCTGCAGCCAACTGCCAAATATCTCTATTAATAAACCAGTCACACTTATTTCATATTGTCATTTCAGCCACACTTATTTTTGACAAAGGAATATATGCAGGCAGCAATACTTTTGCACTTTTATTTTTGACAAAGGAATATATGCAGGCAGCAATACTTTTGCACTACCAAGTGAGCACGTCAGTACTTAACCACGCATTTGTTTGATTTTTGTTCTGTACATGTTGCTGCAAGTATGTCTGTATCTGCAGCAATACTTTTGCACTACCAAGTGAAGTTTATTTAATAGCTGTTTACTTTCTCGCAAAAAATAGCTGTTTAATAACTGTTATGCACTGCTATCTGTGCTTATATGATGATGGCAACGTCAAGAACTAGCTGAAAGTCTGAAACTTCAAATCCATGAAGTTTCCTGAAGAAATTGCATATATATATACACCTATGAAAGCATATAAAGCCATGCATGCTTCAAAATATTTATGTCACTGTTGCAACCCTCACTGTTTTGGAGAACATCTTTTCAAGCTTAATAAAACATTTGGTACCTATCACGAAATATAAAGTAGTAATAAGTATGGTACAACATTATATTACAGCTTTGCTCCACCTAGCTAAGATAACCTTATATTATTTAGATTCATGATATAATATATTTTTATAATATACCTACTTAGTATCATGAATAATGTTGACACTTTTTTCCAGTAAATTGGTTAAATCTGAAAATTGTACGATTGCGGACAAACTAGATTATGTTCTTTTTAGGACAGAGGCCCTAGATTAGAACACTCAAGCAAGACTAGCGCTTGTGGTGAGTTCTAATCCATCTCCTACAACTAAAAAGAAAGAAAGTAAGACCGCCGTTTCGTGCAACAATCGTCGCTCTGTCGGTCCTCCCCTCCCCCTTGCGATCCCGCGAGCACAGATGGAAGTTTCCATGGCATGCAAATATTGGACTGCTTATTGTGTACTACATATTGTACCCTACTTAGCAACTAGGGATCTGTGTGGTTCCATTTTTATTAGCTTAGTTCCTAAATTGTTGCCAAGTTTCTGTCAGTTTTTGCAGGCTACTTGCTTTGCACATGCACATGCAATGCGATGGTTTCAGACCTCTGGTATGCTCTCTTTGGCCCAGTGCCATGTTGATTGCACTCTATGTCAAGATGCTATTTTATCCCTTAATTCTTAGTGCATTTTTTTACTTGTAGTACTTTCTGAACTTCTCAGATATTCCAATAGCCATTAAAATTGCCATCCCTTATTCCTTATTTTACTTAAATCTCCTATCTCCTACAACTCAAAAGAACAAAGCGTGGACACTTTTTTGTGCGACATTTGTTTTGGTCTGCCTCTTCACCCCCCAAGCCTGCGATCCCGCGGCACAGATGGGTCCGCCCAAGCCTGCGATCGCGTGTCGGGGAAGGGAAGAGAGATTTCTGGACGCCGCACCGCTGCTCGCCGGACCCTGCGCTTGCGCCGCCGCCACTGCGTCTTCCTCTCCCCGCCCTCGGTTCGCCTGCTTCTTCTCAGGCTCGGACACGATGTCGTCACTGGACGCCACCAGTGAGGCCGCCTCCGTCGTCGACGCCACCACCGACGCCGGGCGGCACGCTTCGCGACGGCCTCATCCCCACCGCCAGAAGCCGCTAGCTCTCGTCACCGCCTCCCGTACGCCGCAGATTTGCAGCGCTCTCCGTGACTAGTGTTAATTTCACACACTTTGTTTTTTGGATTAAATGTCACTTTAATATTGGTATTTAATTTTTATAGTATGGTTATCTTATCGTGCGATCCGTGTGTTTTTAGTACAAAATATTAGCTATTCCGTAGCAACGCACGGGCACGCTACTATCCTCTAAGATCCAGGGTCCACGATCTCGTTGATGGTAGTCTGGACTGGACAACAGGGGCTCAATGTTGTTCTGATGCTTTAGCACCCACTCTGCTGTATGACCAGAAGATTCTGTATTTCCGTTTGATTCAATGCCCACTGGCGGCTTAATTACATGATACTTTCCATTAGACGCTGATATCCTCCAAAAGAAATCATTTTGGCAATGCACATACAGTTCTCCGCGCCAATAGACGCCGTGGTGCTTCTGTTCCTTTCTATCCTTTTGCATGTCAGCCATAGTTCCCGCGGGCTCTCCTTCCCGAACAAATGATCTCTCCTCCCAGCACCCGGTTCTTGAGGAGAAGACGTGTGTTTCCAACAACGATGGTGGCCATTCTGACTCTTGTACCATATAGTCTAGTTCTGCCCAATCAGGCACAACAGGGATCAAGAATACCTCGTAGTGAGGAGAGACCGCCGGGTCGAACACAAGATAAGGGAGCTCGTATAGATGCCCCATCTGCATGAGCGGTGGTGGTTGCCTGGGCAAGCGCGTCCATTGTCGCGTGGCAGGGTTCGCCACACAACTATAAAGCAGTAAGAGGCCGTTGCAGTGGTCTTCGACGGAGATATTTGGCGTGTAGCTGAGGTTACCAGAGACGGCACGTCCGGTGGTCGTCGTAGGGCAAGAGAAGAACTCGGTGTAGCCCAGCATGTTGAAATCCACAAATATGCCGCCCAGGGAGTGCGGGAGGAGGCCAGCACGCAGCAGCCTCCGGGCGTCAATGATGGCGTGCCAAGCCTTGCAGACGCAGCGGGACATGGCGAGGCTTCGAGGCGGCAGGCGGCGGAGCACGTCCGCCAACATGTCCTCCGCTAGCACCTGCACTACGCACTCCCCCTGCTGGTCCATCGATCTCTGACTCTCGCTTTCAAGCTCCGTTTTTCGATCTGTTTGGGCGACACAGGCGATCGATCGAGGATTAGTTTCTCTTTTCTGCAGGATATATATATACTAGACAAAGGACGATGCGTTTATGCCGTTTTCTACTTCTCTTGGCGGCACGACGGCTCTTTCCGAGGAGTAACTAGCGATGTGGCTGCTTGGCTAGCTCTCTTCCTCGGGCGGGCACGTGCATTTAAAGGCGCCAGCGCGGGGACGATGATCCGAGTCCGATCGCAAGTTGGTTCGGTTCGATTCCGATTTCTGATCTGCTCAAGTCTCGATCGACTAGGATATACAGCATATTTAGAGGCCCCGCACGTCTCTAAGAACGTCAGAGATGGATCCAAAGTATATAGCCATTTGACACACATCAGAGACGTGTCTTTTTGGTACATGCATGTCCATTTGACGCATCTCTAATTATACATTGTGACGCTTCATGTTTTAGCGGAAAAATATGTGTATGTCTTCTTTGTGTGTGATGCTGTCATGGTGTAGGAAACAACTATAACTACTGCAGGTAATCTCCCTGACAAGTGTTTTATTCATTACAATCTGCATAAGAAAGCAAACAGCAATGTCTGCATAGTAAATAAAGTAAAAATACAGGAGCATCACATCACATACCAAACACCCACAAGTGTTTGTTTATTGTAACAAACCTTAGGGAAAAGAAAGTGGCGGTGCCTGGCGGGTAGTACATCTCAGTCGCGAAGGTTCCTCAGGATCATGGGAAGCCCGAACCTGGGCATCAGGGTGATCGCTTCCTTGGGTGCATGGACATACTTTGCCGAGAGCTCAAACGAGAACCTCTGAAGGATCATGGCGATCCCGATACGGGCCTCAAGCATCGCGAAGTTCTGGCCAATGCAGGCCCTAGGCCCCTGGGAGAAGGACAGCAGGGCATTCGGGTGGTTGCCAGCGCCTTTGGACACGCCGTGCTCGAACCTGGCAGGGTTGAACTCGTCGGCATCATGGCCCCAGACATCCTTGTCCCTGTGCAGCAATGCAATTGGTATCGATAGCATTGTTCCCTTGGGCACCCTTATGCTGCCGAGCTGGATGTCTGAGCCTGTGCCCCTTCTTATCAACACCACGGGGCTGTAGAGCCTCAGTGACTCGAGAAGTACCATGTTAACCTGAACAGCAACAGCAACATATGTCAATATAACATCATCCAAAATTGACTTGTCGTTTCGTTTGTACAGTTGGGGAAACCACTTTAATTTTGGAAGGGGATATATATGCGAGGTTTACCAGTTTGAGCTTGGTTGTCCGGATTTGGCACTGCATTGCCACACTCTCTCAGCACCTCCTTCCTCAGCTTGTGTTGCCACTCGGGGTACCTGCTCAGCAGGAACATGGTCCAGGTGAGGAGGTGCGAGGTGGTGTCCTGCCCTGCGAAGAAGAAGGTCTTGCACTCGTCCACGATCTCCCGGGTTGTGAGCATCTGGTGCCCTTCTTGCTCCAGAGCGCGCGCTTCGAGCATGAGACCGAGGAGATCGTTGCCGTATACATTGGTGTCCTTCTCAGCAAGGCGCCCTTCGATTATCGCCGTGAGCATGCTCCTCACCTTCTGGTCCAGTTTTTCAACTCGTCGGCTGCTCTTGCTAGTTGGCAATTTCAGTTTCCTTCATGTATATATATGGAGATGAATTTGGATTGAGTTCATAATTTAGTAGTACTGTATTTGCTAAAGTCATTGCCTTTACACAAAGTAGCAAGCATTGCATGCAGTTGATTAGTTGAATAATCAGTGTTTACCTTAGACAACCAGGAGCTGGGATATCAAGCGATGCTGAGAATGCGAGTTCTTGGAGCTCCTTCTGCGCGACGAACACCTCTTTGCCCTCCTTGTAGCTGCTCCCGAAGGCCGTGTGCGCGATCACATCTGAAGTCAGCTCTGAGAATTCACTGCTGAGTTCAATTTCAGCCTCATGTTTGGTATCCTGCTGTATCTGAGATTGCCATTGCTTCATCATACGCTGCACCAAGTCTGCCATGACCACAGACATCTCCTGCGACATGATAATGCAATTATGTTTTTTTTAAAAGAGATAAATTCTGCTTTGAAGAAAAGCAATGTCCATACAGGACTGGGGATACCAGTTTAAAAAGGAAATCAAGTCAGCACTAATAATGCGATTATGTTAAATAAGTTAAGGAATTAAGGGACAAAATAAACTTAACCTAAAGAAAGCACTATATAAATCATTATGCAGGAGTAATTAATAATCACATTGTATTTGTATATGCAGTGGATCAGGTATGCTTGATCAGACGTCAGACAGACCTTGAGCTTGTCGAGGTTGAAGGCCGGGTGCACCACCTTGCGGTGGCGTTTCCACTCTTCGCCGTTGGTGAGAACGAGACCCTTGCCAAGGAGTGCCTCCATGTTGGCGTTCAAGTAGTCCTTGGGGAACAGACCTGTCCTCTCCGCGAGCACCTGCTTCACCAGGTCCACCTCGGCGACGCAGATGGTCGGCACTGCGCCGAACCAGTACAGAAATGTCTTCCCTGAACGACAGACGACACACACATATATGATGCAATTGCAATCAGGAATCAGATAGTGGATATATAAATATCCTATCATTCGATTATTCGAATAATGTCAAGATGAACATCACTTGCTAATTTATTTACTGTTGTATAATTACAGATACGTACCGTAATCTGCCACCCATTTGCGGTACTGCGGCTGCACGATCGGGATGAAGTCATGGGAGCCGACGTCGAGTATGATCTTGCTCCCGGCTGCTTTCATCCGCTTGATCTCCGGCAGGGAGCCGACGAAGAACCTGTAGCTTGGGCCCCCGACGCCCTGACCCCTAAACCACCTGCTGACAGCATAGGGCTTCCACACCAGAAGGAACAGCACTCTGATCAGCAGCGTGGAGACAAGCACGGCCAGGAGGGCACCCAAGACTGAACCGATGGAAACATCCATTTTTTTTTATCTGCTGATAGATGCGTTTGCTCGTGTGGCTGTGTACGTATGAATGATCGAGCTGAAGATGTTTTGGTTGTGTTGGTGCGTGGTTTGATCCATGGAGTGGAGACTGGACAGGTGTATATAGGATTGGGAGCAGACGGGCATGCAGCGCCACACGGCAACTTCCTGGCTTGGTTCAGCTTATTATTTGGCTTTGTGCCATGCTGAGATCAGAACTGACGTCACTACTGAAGATTGAGATAGGGCTAATGAACCACGTGCATAGCCAGCAGTACCAGTGACAGCTCTTCTAGAGAAAGTGATCGACCACTGGTACGTACTACTAGCCTACTATGCAACAAGTACGTACTTGTTTGATGAGCTCACAACTGATGACAGCGAATTGCATCGCCTGCTGTTGGACGTCCATGTTGACCAGTCCTGGCACTACTAGAAAGCAGCCAGCCTTAATTTCTAGAAAGCCACAGTAATCTGCTGGAATTTTTTTATTCGGGTCGAGCTCTGCATGTCTCTGTCAAGTGAGCGCACATGCTGCTTCGCCTGCACCTTTGCGGGTTGGGCCACCCCTCTAAAAAAAGTATCCGGGTCTAAAATGGACACGGGCTGCTACGGTCTGCCCAATCACACATAAGAAAATTTATATCCAAGTGAGCGCACCTGTTGCTTCACCTGCACTTTTGTGGGCTGGGCCGGCCCTCTAAAAAATATCCATCAGATTGTTCAGACTAATCGGGTCTAAAATGGGCACGGGCTGCTGTCAGCCCCAATCACACATAAGAAAATTTATGTCCAAGTGAGCGCACCTGCTGCTTCGCCTGCACTTTTGCGGGCTGGGCCACCACTCCAAAAATATCCATCAGATTGTTCAGACTAATCGGGTATAAAATGGGCACGGGCTGCGGTCTGCCCCAATCACACATAAGAAAATTTATTACGTGTATAATATAGACTCTCTCTATCAGGGACCAATACCAGGGTACCCGAAGAGGAGGGGCTAATGGTCATCAACATTAATTCATCCGAACAGTCAAGAGCGCGACTATGGCTCCAACCAACCCCCAGGCGCGCAGGCTCCGCCTCGCCCGGCCTCTGAGGGAGGACTCCGCCTCGCCTGACCCCATGGCCACGGGCTTCGCCTCGCCCGGCCTCTGGAGGAGGGCTCCGCCTCGCCTGACCCCAAGGCCGCGGGCTCCATCTCGTCCGACTCTTGGGTTTGCGCCCCGCCTCGCCCGACCCCAAGGCCGCGAGCTCCGCCTCATCCGACACTTGGGATTGCGCTCCGCCTCGCTCGACCCCGAGGCCACGGGCTTCGCCTCCCCCGGCCTCTGGGGGAGAGCTCCACCTCGCCCGATCCCGAGGCCGTGGGCTCCGCCTCGCCAGAACCCGAGGTTGCGGACTCCATCTCGCCCGACGGAGACCCATACCGCCGCCAACCACTCTAGGTCCAAGTGTATGGGCCTGGGTCAAAGCTCTGACACCAGGGAGGAGACCGGCATGCCTTGATGTAACCCGCGATCATGACGGGCCGTACCCGAGGATTCACATCAGGAACAGCGTCGGGCGTACCGGTGCTGTTCTGCCTAACCCTCGTATAAACACTGACAGGCACATCAGTTCACCATGACGTCTGCCAGGACGGAGTGGAGCGCCATGACCGACAAACGACGCCTGCGCATGGCGCCAGAGACGGACAGGGCCGCGATGTGGAGCCGTCCCTGTTGACATCTACAGGGTCAACGGGACCTGTATGAAGGATAAGAAGGACCTGGCGATCCTAAAGGCCTTCGGCTCTCTCTGGTTCTTCTTTTTCCCTTCGTTGTAACTCGTGCTTTCCCTTGGCCTATAAAAGGGAAAGCAGGCGCCCCACGAAGGGGATCGAGGGATAGATCGATTGAGGCCAGACCCGATCGAACCATCACGAACCCATAGAACCTCGAATCGACCAGAACACAACACAAGCACACGACTGAGCAGCAACCGAGCTCTCGGCACCCGTTCACTCTTTCCACCAGAGACTTGGGACCTGTCCCTCTCTCGCCCATTTGTAACCCCTACTACAAACTTTCAGTGCTAGTAACACGAGCAGCAGCGACAAACTGGACGTAGGAACATTCTGCCCGAACCAGTATAAACCTCGTGTCCTCTATACACACCATCCGAGCCAAACGCGCAATACTAGAAATTTACTCGTTGGTGGTAACTCGAAATCCCGACAGTTGGCGTGCTAGGTAGGGCCATTTGCGCGTCTCAACATCCACACCAGGCTTCGGATGGCTAGTCGCAACATCTGCTGGGTCTCGGGCGCGCACGTGCGCTTCGGGAGCCTAGACTTCATCGTTACAACAGAGGGAGAGTTGGTGTGGCCTACCATCGCCATCCAACCTCTCCACTTCACTAGCATCAACGCGATCGCCGAGGCGCTTGAGGAGCTACAGCTACACGCACTGGAGGACCACGCCCCCAAGAGCGACCAGCTCCTTGGCTACGACTATGGGAGGTTAGAGCATCAGCTCGGTGCCCCCCGACCGTTCTGGGAGGACCTGCGCTACCTCACCTTCTCGTTCACCAACGTCATGGCATAGCTTGCCGGGGGAGAACCGCTCTCCCCGGAATACCTCATCCGAAGCGCCCCGACAACGCTCCCGTTCGATCTCCGCAACGCCATAGAGACCATTGGACACCATGTGGCGCAACACACGCCTCCATCCCCCACGAACGACGAGTTCGTGGGGATGACCGAATATGTTGTGGAGTCTTTCTATGATTGTTTACACCAAAATTTGGTAAGATTATCTTAGAAAGGAAGAGATCGACCAATGATGTCAAAAGAAAGAAAGTTTCCTAAATAAGGGATATTTATGAGCCAGCCAGGAAATATTATTTAATAAATTTGAGAGACATGACGTCCAGGTGCATATCAGGATGAAAGAAACAAGGACGCGTATCAAACAAGGAAGCTTCATCAGCAAGGATTCTGCATAAGGGAAATTAGAGTCCATGTATCTTGATATTTCTTTTTATTATATAGTCGTGTTCGTTTAGGACTCTTATTAGCCTAGGGTATAAATATAAACCCCCAACAATTGTAACATGAATCCAATCAATCAATACAAATTACCTTTTTCGGCTTAGTGCCAACCTATAGGAGTAGGAGTAGTGTAGATCTCGACGAGTTCTTCAACAAGCAGGGCTGCATCGGTCCGGCCGACCTCCAGCTTGTTTGTAAGTACCGTCATTGCTTATACTTTGGTTTGTACGGCTGCATTGGTTAGTTTCGACCTCCACTGCGAACTCTAGTATCAGCTAGTTATCGACTTTTATCTAGTTCAAGTACGGCTGCATCGATCTAGTCGACCTCCACTGCTCGAATTAGATTAAGGTCAAGTTATCGGCTCTACCTAAGAGTGGCATCCTTTGGGTAGATTTATTAAGTTACCGATCTTGCTGATGTCCTTATTGTCATTAGTTTTTCAGCAACATCAATCTGCCCGATCTAGATCGGCCTTATATCCTTTTAGTCCGTCGTTTGCTTTGTTATAACACGATGTTTCTTACTTTGAGCGACAGGTTACGTTTTATCGGCTGTTCTACTTCGATCTTGATTGCGCATAGTACGTGGTTAAGGCACGCATGCTCTTGAAGAGGTTTGCTGGCTAGTTAAATCTGGTCTATAGTTCGCTATTATGGCTGCAACGATCCGGTCGATCCCCACTGATAGCACTTTAGATTGGAGGATGCTAGTTTGGTAGACTTGTTCCCGATCAGGCGTGACCTTAGCTATTTGCTATGGCTGCATCGGCTAAATAGCAAATCGCCAGCACTTTAATGCTCATAGTATGTCTTTATAATCCTATTAAATATGAGAAGATCTATTTTCTTTAAAGATTTAATCTGTTATCTTTATTATGGCTTCCATCGATCCGGTCGAACCCCACTATTAAAGATGATAGGTTAGATTTGAGGAGTTGATAGGTCTGCTCGTATTGAATAGTTGATTGTTCACATGCTGTGACCCTTTTTCTACTGGAATCAGCTCTTTTAGCCGATTCGCCTGCGCCTTCACAGATATAGCATGTCTTTCAGAAAACCTGTCAGGGTATGGATGGTTTTGTGAATTCTTTGGCTTTAGTTTGTTGTTATCATCATAGCTGCATCGATCCGGTCGAACCTCACTAATGATGATAGCTGGTTAGATTCGGAGTGTTTGTAGAACCGTTCGTATTAGACAGTCGATTTGTTTGCATGTTATATCCATTCTCGTCAGACTCATCGGCTCAAAAGCTTCATACTGGTTATATTTTGTCTAGCTAATGATTTTACTTACATTTTTCCCATCTAGCTGTTGGCCCACTGGATCACCGGTGTTGCCGACCACTCACCGGCGCTGCCGACCGCGACTAACGTTGTCCGACCACACATTATGACTAGAGGGAGGGCAACGATAGTTCGTGGTTGGCATCATTAGTATGTGCTCGACAACATTAGTGAGTGGTCAGACATCTCCGTGCTGAAGATCCAGTGGGCTAACAATGGCTGCTCCCGAAGTGGCACACTTGGAACTCTAGCAGGGGGAGCCATCACCCCTCTCGTGAATGTTTCTTGATAGGTACCCTTGAGGGACACGTCGAAAGCATCCATGAGGAAGAGGCTACCCTAACGAACGACCTCAATGACGAGATTGAGGGGGACACAGGGGCCCCACCTAGCCTACGGATGGAGCAGCTGAAGGCCTGGCACCAAGAGCTCGAGGAAGCTTGACTCCAGCTCAAGCAAGAACACACAGAGCTCGATCGAGAGATCGAGCGCCTCGGAGATGGTGGGCGTGCGTGCGCCATGGGCCATGATATGAACTGGAGGATCATCGAGGACGATGAAGCCCTCCCACACTTCACCTGGGCGAGCCAGAACATCGCTGTTGTGGTGGCCTTGTTCTGGGGCTTCCGGGGCCCGCGACGCTCGAGGATCGTCGGGCCCATCGTGAGATTCGCACGCTA